GCCCCAAACTCGTGATGGAAACAGGTACATTTGTGTGGTGATGGATTATTTCACCAAGTGGCCCGAAGCATATGTAATACCGAATCAGGAAGCTACAACTGTAGCTTAGGCTATTAGTGATTTCTTCTTCAGATTTGGTATGCCGTATGAACTGCATTCAGATCAAGGCCATAACTTTGAATCAGCTGTGTTCCAAGAATGCTGCAAGTTGTTTGGCATACGAAAGACTAGGACAACGCCACTTCACCCACAGTCTGATGGGATGGTAGAAAAGTACAATTGGACACTTGGACAGGAATTGGCAAAATTTTGTAATAGCCGCCAAGACGACTGGGATGTCTTACTCCCTCACCTGTTGATGGTCTATAGGACAGCAGAGCATGAAACCACTGGATACACTCCAGCAAAGTTGATGTTTGGTCGGGAACTTCGGTTGCCAGTGGATCTGTTGACAGGACGCCCACCTTATGAAGAGTTGCCTGAAAATGTGTCAGAGTTTGTGAAAGTGTTATCGGAAAGGATGGATGATATTCACCATCAAGTGCGTTTAAACTTGAAAACGTCAGCTGATTCGATGAAGTTATCTTATGATAAGAGATCTACTGAAGTCAGCTTTGTACCAGGAGACAAGGTATGGTTGTATAATCCCAGGAAAACCAAAGGAAAGTCTCCTAAGTTGTTTTCTCCATGGGAAGGCCCATATGACATAGTGGATCGTCTCTCAGACGTGACTTTCCGAATAAAATTTGGTCGGCGAGGTAAGCCAAAGGTGGTGCGTGCCAACAGGCTTTGGCGTTATCATGGTCCAGGACATTTCAGTTGGGCTGAATTGAACAATGGAACAAAAGATGCCGCTGAAGACGTGTCACCTGAAAAAGCCACTGTTGAAGAAGAAACTCTACCCTGTTTTGAGAAAGGAAACACTGAAGCCCTTGATGAAGTTACTACCACTGATATGTCTGTTACCGATAACAGGACATTTCCTGATGGAGCAAATGAACCCCACGTGAAGCTGAAGCCAACGAGACGGAGACCAGTACGGAAGAAGATACGTCCCATAAAATTAAGACACTTTGTTGAATTTTAATTTTGTGTTATTTAAGTTATTGTTAATTATCTATTGGTTTAATTTAAGTGGCTATTGTTCGGGACGAACAATACTAAGGAAGGGGCAGTGTTATGACAGTGGAAGTCACGTGACGTTGGTAACACGTAATGAGTATCTAGAAGATTCGCGAAAAACGCTAGTGTGTTACGACAGCAAAAGTCAAGTGACACTGGTAGCACGTGATGAGTGTCTAGAAGATTCTTGAAGAGGCTATGCGGGCGGTATTATCGTATATAAGTGCGCTAGACAAAAAAGAGAGAGAGAGTGGGGAACCAAGGACAGCAGTTACGGTCGATGGGAACCGAGAATAGCAGATACAGAGATTGGAACTATAGTTGCTGACAGGCGGAAATAGAGAAGGATAATTGAGTTGAGCGCAGTAGTAAAGTGAGTGAATTGTTGTGAATTACAGCGTGTGTTCAAGTTAAAGTAACTGTGGAAATTAAGTGTATTGCAAAGTTGTATTGAGTAAGAATAAACTTGTTTTATTTAAGAAAGGACTTGTATCGCAGAAAAATTAACAAACGAACATACAGAGACGTAACAATAAAGAGCACAACACTTGCACGAAATACATTGAAAAATATTCTTAAACATACCTTAGTAAAGATATGTTCTTTCCTAGCTATAGAAGGGTAAAATCTATCAGTTTTTAACTACAACATTTTCTGTTTTATTCTGCATATTTGATTTGTGAATACAGATATGGTACGTGTACCACATAACTGACTCACATATGGTATATATATATATATATATTTCTTGTTTACAGAATGTACTTTTTTTTCTTCTCAAACTCAAGTTTAGTCAAGTATCAATTGAATCCTAAGGGCTACAAACACGGAAGTTTCTCCTGTTTCATGTAATAATTGCATCACGTTCGACTTTATCTTGTGTATGTGGGACTGCTCTAAGACTATTATATGGTGCAGAAGTATTTCTGGATACACGTAGTCCAATTTTCTGTTTGATAAGCTAACTGTAAATGCAGTAGGCGTATTCAAGTAGATTCGTTTATCATCGAGCTAAGAGTCGCTGTGGTAATCTCTTCTTTGTTTTGTGTATCTTTCTGTTCGATGATCATGCTTGCATCTTCCTTTTAGTTAATCGTTAATAGTAGTCAACAGTTTACTTTCAATGGGTATCCCCCACTCTATTTTATTAAAACGTTGTTTGTTTATTTATTCCAAGTTTAACTTCATAACTATCAAAGCATTAGTTTTATAAATAGGCCGACCAGCTAACCAATGATTCTACTGCTTTCTTTAAGCAAATAAAGTGTTTATTTAACTTCACGGCGTGCCTAGTTTCTTCTTTTCTACATGTAATAACTGACTACACATGTCCTTCTGTATACTAAGTTTGCAGATATCTAGTTATTGCGAAAATCAGGTAAATATGTGCTAGGTTAATTCTTAGAATTGTTTTTGTTTTTGAATTTCGCGCAAAGCTACACGAGGGCTATCTGCGCTAGCCGTCCCTAATATAGCAGTGTAAGACTAGAGGGAAGGCAGCTAGTCATCCCCACCCACCGCCAACTCTTGGGCTACTCTTTTACCAACGAATAGTGGGATTGACCGTCACATTATAACGTCCCCACGGCTGAAAGGGCGAGCATGTTTGGACGGGGGTTCGAACCCGCGACCCTCAGATTGCGAGTCGAGCGCCCTAACCACCTGGCCATGCCGGGCCTAATTCTTAGAATGTACTAAGGTTAAGTGTGATAGAATGTGTGTCCCAAAACCAGCGTGTTTCACATTTTCTCAGTTACCTCTTTTATTAGATTACATTTTACTTCCCTACATCGTAGTTTAAACTCTAGTTTTATGTGTCTGTTGCGTCAGCGAGGTCACGTGACTAGTATCACGCCATATCTTTCTAGAAATATCCTGTTCCTTCAAGAATGCCCTAGCATTTACTAGACATGTGTTAGTCTTGTATATATAAGACGTTCACAACGTGACGGGACAACAGGTAATGAGTAATTGAATGTATGCGGATAAAATATTGTTGGCCACGTGAGACGTAAGTTATAGCGTTGTTATAGAGCGACTGTTGAAATTAAGTATATCGTAAAGTTGTATTCGGAAAGAATAAACCAGTTTTATTTAAGAAAGGACTTGTGTCGCTAAAGTTTCGTCGGAACGAATTTACGGAAAATTAACTAACGAACGGAGACGTAACATGTCTTTTTACGTCTAAAACCTTTTATTTTTATTATATTTACGGAAAACGTAAGTAAAGATATGATAAATAATTTGAGAGTTAACTATTGTTATTAAAACACACCACATTAAAAATCCATAAGAATATATCATCGCCATTTCATCTTATCTAAAGCACACAACTATGGAATGAATGGTCATCCGAGTTTCATTAAATGTATGGTATTGATATTTTTAAACTGAACAGCATCTTATATGATACATAGGCTAAATGGTCAAGTCAAAATCTCTTAGGGTAGCTTTTCAGGCATAGTTGTTCCTAATTTTTAACCACTTACTAGACGGAAGGCAGGATTTCAATAGCACCCATTACAATAAAGGCTTTGTCTAGCTTTGAACTGAATAACAGAACTGACTGTCAGTTTTATAACTTAGACAAATCTGAAAACATAGAGTGTGTTGAAAATCTTCATTGCGAGTACGTTAAATGTTTCGATCCGCAGCCTTCTTAAAATCTAAACGATAAAGTAAAATTAACCCTTTGACCACAGCAATAGCGTTTCTATGATTTTTCATTTGAGGGAATAAGGGGGCAAAATTTAGTTTGGTGAACAGAAACCAATAAACACTTTCACATGAGTGAGAGTCACAATGTAGGCAATACAAAAATCTTAAAAAAAGAAGAAATTGTGATATCTCTGATGGAGGGGCAAAACTCTCCAACGAGGGTTTGCCACGTTTCTGAACCACAGTACTGTCTTTTAAAAGTTTCATAAAATTTCATAAATATTAAGAAAAAGATTTAAATAAATTCAAAATTTTAAAATCGTAAGAAGCTATTCATTATGTAAGTAAAAACACATTTAATTAAAACATATGCTTCGAAGTTTACGTTTTAACTTAAAATTCAACATCAAGACCATTTTTGCTTGAAGACCTGGTGAAGATTTGCGCTAGGAAATCAAAATGCTGTTTAAAAATTTTATAGACAGATGCAGATCATTAACAATGCCTTTCAAGTATCAATTCCATTATTTACTTGTGGAGGTAGCTATATTTCCTCTAACATTTCTTATTTGTTTATTTTTCTCAGAAATAATTTTGTGTTGACAATAATAGCAATTACTTGTGGTATATTATCTTAGAGGGCGCTTAGTTTTAGCACATGCTGTATTATTCTTATTGACTAGTGGCAGCATTAGGTAAAACAGTTTTGTGATGTTTTTTAACCTTGTTTAAAATCATGTTAATGAAAGTTTAATTTGTTATAGGTTCTCATAATTATACAGTGTTTATATTTTTCAAATTTAAGTTTTTATTAGCCCATAGCACTAGTACTAGTTTAAAATAATTATTTTCTATTTCTTTTAAAACTTAAACTAAAGTAAATCTCATTATTTATATTAGTATTACTTCAAATTCAATTAGTAATAATAATAATACTTTCTAATCATTAACTAATCAAGTTAACACTAGCACTATGCTCTGTTTTATGAAATATAATATGTCTGAACTATATCTAAAACTGAAGAGATTATAAATCAGTGAGTGTTAAAGTTCAGATAATATTCAGTATTGGAACAAGAAATTAAAAATCATCATTAAAACTGATTTTTAAGTTGGTTACTCTGCATAAGTTAAAGAAAGAAGTTAAAAAATCTTCCTTGTATAATATATTTACCATTATGTGAATAACCCCTTTAATGTTGCAAAGAGATCTCTACATATATAGTATGTTTATTGTGTATGTAGAATTTACTAAAATTGAATGATAATTTAAATGACAGGTCTTTCTTAGAAGCTGTCTCTCTATTCTAAGATAATCCTTTGTATATTTCTATTGAACAAAAGTTTTAAGTTATCTGGTAGTACACACATCGTAAGGCAATTCATTTTACAGATTAGTTCTTTGTACACAATTATTTAGGGCTATTTTAGAGAACTGTTCTTGGTTTTAGTCTTTCTGCTATAAGAAAAGTATTAATTTATATGAATAAAACTTGAAAACATTGGTACTTGGGGAAACTCCATATTTATGAAACATACAATTGTCTGTAGTGTAAAAGCATTATTATATAGTTAAACTTAAATACATGTTATTTTTCTTTTGGAAATATATGAGAGCTAAGGGGAGTAGCTTAGAATTAAAGTCCTGAAAATAGTGAGATGAGGGGATAATCTTCATATAGGCAACCTATATGATACCCACATGGATGGTGTTGTAAAAAAAAGGTAAATTGAACATTAAAAGTCATTATTCAAAGCATGGAAGCATGTGTGTGATATTAGTCCACACATTCTGGTATTTTCAGGTGAATTAATTACCTTACAAGTATCAATTAGTTGGATTCATTAATAATGGCAGATTTGACCAGGAGTGCTGTGTTTAGTGTGATGAAATGAACAAAATTTTTAATTTTAAGTTAAAACCAGAAAAAGTACAGTATACATACTTGCAGTCAATACTTCTGCTAGGCTGTGATTACTTCCACAACTTTCTCTGTCTAGAGATTGATCTCTGTAGAACTAAAACAGGATGATATCCCAATAGTGTTTTAATTTGATGATCCCATAGTAGAACCAAACTAAGAGAATGACTTGAATTTGACAGGATAATTTAGTTTCTTTGTTCAGTTGACAGCATCCCTTTGTGACCCTTGTTTTCTCACAGCATTGGTCATCGGTAACATACAAATATTGTCATTTTAGCTAGCAAAGTATATTATAGTTGCTGATACCATCAAAATGGATTGCAATATCTTCTTGAGCAGAACAGACATGTACTATAGAGAACAAAGCAACTAGAACAAGGTAACCTCAATGACTTTCTGGACTATGGGTTTATGCTAAAGCTGCATAAAAACTAAATAAATGAAATTTTTCAAATTCCTAGGTAACTAAGATCAGGTAGAAAACATGTATATGCTTGAATATCACACTTTCCAACCTGCTTTGTTTCAGGTTTGACCTCAAGCTGACAATTAAAATTAAGTTTAAAATCTTTAAACTTGTGACATAGCCAAGGAACACATTAACTTTCCTTTGTTCGTAAGAGCACCTACATGCCTTATTGATGACATAGCTCTTAAAACAAAAGTACAATTAACTAGAATAATAAACCCTATAACAATGAATTACACTAATACATAATACAATCTTTACTTATAATTTTAAAACAAAAAGTAATTCAAAATAGATAAAAAATCCTTTAATTAAATTTGAAGACTGAAATCCAATATCATTGTAATAAAATCCCTTAATTTTAGTTCAAAACATCAGGGCATTACACATGACAAAATTAAATGTTCAAATGGAAATGTTTTAAAAGTATTTTAAATGAAATATAAGGCAATGCATTTCATAATTTTAAAATATTTATCTAATCCTTTAACTTGAATTTAAATTACATAATACATAGCACAATATAAGAAGAAAATTATGCTTTAATAGAAGTAAATGAAGCTTTTTAAAATAGAACATATAATAAGATCCTATAACAATGAAATATATAATATACTCTTTAGCAAAGAAAAAAAAAAGCAATGTGCAAGTACACTATCTCAAAAAATAAAACCTAAATAAAGAGGAAAAAGAGTGGACATGCTAATAAAAATTAACAATCTAAAATCAAAAGAAAAGGAATAAAAACCATTTAACAAAGGTATGTATCTTTAAAAACTTTAACAATGATTTTAAGCTGACCTCATCAAGAAGAGATGTTCTAATACCACATCATCATACATAATAATTAAACTAAATATAAAAAAAAATGCTTTTAAGAATCCATATTTACTCATCCAAAGTAGGAAAACAGGAACTGGAACATAAGCTACTCAGGAGTACTGCTTCAAGTTTGAGATTGAGAGACTGACCATGGCTGGAACTGACTATACCTATTAAATGTCCAGATTTAAATGCAGTATTGACTAAATTCGAACTGGTTAAGGTTCAACCAAGTGCATAGGTTAAAGGGGTTGTAAAGTACTGTTATAACCACCAATGCATTAATCATGTACTAGTCAAGCAATACATCTACAGATTTAACTTTACTCCAAGGTGGTCCTTGTTTTGTAAGTTTTGATATACAACACTCTCACTCCCTCATTTTGTTGCAATATATATATATATATATATATAAGCAACTGACAACAAGTTTTGTCCATATCAAATAACATTTATGGGTTGCCCAAAGTAGTTGAAATGATACCTTGTAGCTTATATTATACCTTCATGTTCTGAATATTCTAAATATTCCAAAGTTGATTTATAGCACTGGAGAGATACAAGCTTCTGCTGGAAGAGTGGAGAGTCACTGATTTTGTAAAGGCAATTTGCTTTGATACTAGAGCAAGCAACACTGGTTGCAGAAGTGGAGCATGTGTGCTATTAGAACAAAGATTAAACAAACATCTTCTGTATTTGGCATGGTGGTATCGTATTCAAGAACTAGTTCTGGCATGTGTTTTCAAAGACTGTATGAGGCTTTCCTCTGGTTCAGATATTGCAATTTTCAATTAATTCCAGAAATCTTGGGAATTCATGGACCAGTCCAGTTATGAAATGACAGCTGACCATGATGTAGCAGAAGCCATAGAGGAAGTTAAGCACAATGTAATTGAGTTTTCTACAAGACAACTTCAGGTCAGCCAACCTAGAGATGAATATCAAGAGTTTCTTAAACTAGTCATAACCTTTCTTGGAGTCATCCCTCCTCATGGAGTGTGGTTTATAGTATCTGGAGCACTACATTATGCACGATGGATGGCCATGGCATTATATGCTCTCTAAATCTTGATGTTTATGACATAGTTTAAGCTCAATGGCCATGGCATTATATGCTCTCAAAATCTTGATGTTTATGACATAGTTTAAGCTCAATGGCCATGAAGAAAAAGGACACCATAATATCTGCATCTTTGTTGTTCAAGTCTATTTTAGGGCATAGTTCACTGCTCCTGATTCTATTTCTTCTCTCTGCACTGATCTAAACTTCCTACAGTGCCTTGTTAAAAATAAGAAGGAAATTTTGCTCATTCAAAAAAGAAACTCATTGGTTTGGCATTCTTTGATTCAACTGTATCCACAGAGACAAAATGAACAATGGCTAAAGCACTAAATGAAAAGGAAAGCATGGATAGACCTTCAAAGCGTATCCTGCTGAATATCAGGAAGTCTGAGGACATTAATTGAAGATTTCATCACAAAGAACACAACAGACCTTTTCAGATGCCTTGAAATACCGTCTGGATTATGATACTGAGTTATGGGAACTCAGAGAGGACTACAAGGATTCACTACAGATAGTTCAACACTTGAGTGTGATAAAGGAAAATGCTGAAAAGGATGTGGCCCTCATTGAGGAGTACAATGCCATTATAACAATGAAAGAACAGAAACAATTCCTCCTTCAAATTGTGCAGGATCATATAAGATGCTTTCCTAACAGCAAAAAGGAAACAACAACAATACAAAAGTGACTAACCACACCAAAATTATATAAAAAATCATAATTATGTAATTATGCTATTTTACATGCAATAAAATAATAATATCCTTTAAATAAATCATCTATGTACATAATAGCCAAATATCTGTCACACTTTGTATCTCATGAATGATTAATTGTACAAAATAAATTATGTATCAAAATGTATTCAAAAGTACATTACAGTTAAGTTATTAATTTTTTGCTATTCCTAGAATATGTGGTGAATGGTCAATCTAAGAAAAGAACTTAAGTACAAAAATGCTTCTTTTTTGTGAGAGAATTAAACACACGCAAGAAAATTTGACTTCCTCTGTTGATTGATTGAAAGAAATATTTTGAAGATAGGAGCATGAATGAAAAAAACTGCATAAAAAAGCAATGGGTTTAAATATGTGTTTGTTATATTTGGTTTATGTATATATTTTTTCATGATAGTATTATATACATGCATGATTTAATTGTATGGTTTTGAATAAATTGATTTGAATTGAATATCTTCCCTTTGACACTTCTTATAAAAAAGACAACTGTCTAAAAGTGATTAATTTGGTAGTGGTCTTTTCTTGCACTCAGTAAAATGACAAAGAATGGTGATATCTAGCAGAAAAAATTCCTGTGGCTATTTAGTGAACCTGAGTGCTCTATTGTGCTAGATGCACTCATTGCATTGAAACTCAAACATTTTTGCCCACAATGTATTGCAGTTAGTCTCCTTTGATTAAAAGCAAACACAATGCAATTTTTCGTATTGAAATAACACATGGAATGATGAAATATGGTTGTGTAAACAGCCCACTAGACAATCATATTGCATATATGTTCTCATCTATGGGATTGGGTTGACTGCACATTTTATATTTATTCATCACTATTTTTAGGAAAATTACTGATGAATTGTTTCAACAGACATGCTAGTTTGTAATATGTAACAAATATGTGTTTATATTACATTAGTACATATTGTGCCAGGTGACTGTAGCCTAGAACTTCAATCTCATTGAGCAACCTCAAACTATGGTCCAAAATGGATGAAGTTTGACATGTAATGTTTTTTGTGCATTGGAACAAAATTAGGGGGTGCCAGCAAATAAGAATCACCCTAGTGTATTCATGCTCAAATTAGCCCATAGAATGTGTGTGCCCAGAGAACTTGAGCACTTCCCAATCTTGGGTTTCCACTTGACCAGCTATTTTGTAGCTATACCCTTCTCTGTTTTCTTTACAAGACAATGGGAACACATTCTCTTACCCAGCCTCATTCCTATCCTACCATGTGGTTGTCACATAGATAGAGCCCTGTTTCGCAAGGAAGGAATGGGGGGTTGTTTCTACAAAGTCAAGCTGACATGAGTTAGGCAGTGCTAACCTTATGTTTGACCATTAACCTTTGCCAATGCTAACATTCTCTTTCCTTAGGGATTTTTTTTCTATTTACATTCTGGCATTAATTATAAGATTTCACCATGTAGGTGATACCTTACGCTTTCCCTTGTATGTTTACAGCTTGCATTTTCATGCTTCAAAACTGTATTTTGTAAAGAAACAACATTAATAAAATATCCAATAAAACTGTATGCTTATTAAAAATATTTCAACCTGCATGACTGAAAATATTTCTATTACAACCAAATAAAACACTGGATATGCAGTGTGTATATACTTATTACAATATTTTAACCATCATCTGTGAATATAATGTACTACTGATAATTTCACCTTTTTCACTGATATTTCAGCTTGAACAAGTTGAGATATTTTCTGTACTGTGCTTATGAGAAACATAAGGTAAAAATGTGTTCTTTAAAATCCCAGATGAAGCTGTTTTCTCTCTCTAGTCACAGTGTAAATCTATTTTTTGTTACTGTTGTCTCTTCAGTGAAAACTTTGTCACCTTCTGATTTTTTCAATGCCAACTTTGAAATGTTTTCTTATAAGTATTAATGTAAATAACTGATACATTAAATTTTCCAATAATACTTTCCAAGTCAGTTATTACAATTAACCTAATATTCATCAGTTCTAAACATTTAGATCAAATCTTTTTTCTCCATGACCTCATTGTATACTTCCTGTTTATTACTGCACACTGTGTCATTGCTACGTTTGTGCTAATTTCTAAAAAACATTTATGAAGGATTTTGTATAATGTTTCTACAGTCTGTGGTTCAAGACATGGATTTGCTTACACATGTATATCCATATTCAGGTGCTGCCATTATGCTTCAGTAAGTACTCTAGTAGTTTACACAACTCATCTCTGGCTACCATATGAATCACTTTGCCAATGTTTAAGTTACCTGTCAAAGCTTCACATTTCAGCAATGGTAGGGCCATCAAACCCTACTTATTCATGTTTTACACTTTATGAAATGACTAATAAATGGCAAAATTCAGATGTATTAAGTCTTTTTTTTCTTTTAACTGAAAGTTTGTTTACTAAGATTAAAATTGTGCTGTTACAACTGTACTCCAATACACACTCAAAGAAAGCTCAATTCACTTACAGATTGTAGATTCGAGTTATTTCCCATGATGATCACTGGAAAATCTAGCAAGTAGGGAACAGCATGCTCTGCAGAGTTTTCACCACTCAGCTAGATTGTTGGAGTGATTTTCCTGAAACATTGGATTGTGTTTCTCATCAGAAAATTCATTAACTGGCCTTGGAAAGCAAGGGGTTACAAAACCTTTTCTATCTTTGACTTTTCAGTCACATGACCATCCTTAATTATTGATAATTGAATGATAATTCTACAGTGTAATACATCACATCCTAGTACAACTTGATAGCTTAGAAAGTAAGGAACTCCTCTTCTTTCCAGTCCTTGATAATTTAGATTAGCAACTGTCCTAACTGTCAATGATTGAGTAGTAGTTGCAAAATGTTGTTTTTACATTCTGCTGGACATCACTATCTGATGGCATAGAAAGCAGGGAATGCTCTTTGTTTGAACCAATTACTGTCTTAATGTCTACATGAATGGCAACTGCACAATGTAACACATACATGTTGTCATTTGGGGTTAGTTATGATTTTTAAGTATACGGGATACTTCCAATACTCACATTTTAGGGCCTTTGATGTTACAACAGATGATGTCATAAGTAACAAGGAGGGGGGGGGGGGAGAGTTATTTTAATAGAAATACCTGATCATCTCATAGAAATCTACAGTTGTGTTCCTTTTATGTTGAAAATTCTTAGAGTAAAGAGTTAACATCAAAATGCCAAAGGCGAGTTCCACAATTGAGACAGCTTCAGTTTTTGGTCATGTGAAGCCTGTTCAATGACATCCAGAAGAAGAGTGGTGAAGTGCCCATTTAAACCTTTCTGTGAAAACAGATTTTGATTCCATTTTGCTTTTTATTGTAAGTTTGGTACAAATAGAATTTGCCATCCAAGCTCCAACAATCCCTGAAGAAGCCAAATCTACTAAGGATGGAGTGATCAAGGCCTAAATCTTGAATAAAAATGTCTTTTGAATTAGAACTAAGAAAATGGTTGGTGCTTTGGAACATTTCACTAAATGGATAACCATTTGTGAATCAGATATCCCAAGACTGAGATTTGTTCTACGTGTTTTCTTTGACTTTTAAAAAACTTATGGATATGTATTTATCCTGTCACTTACTTTGAAGATCATTGACCTTTCCCTAAAAAACAAAACAAAAACAACAAAAGATACACAAACTTCATCCATGTCACATAGTAGCAAACATTCTGTGTCCTCTGTATGTGGGGAAGTTTCTCTCCTTACAAGAGGATCTTAGTAGAAAAGATGTAAGGTTACAGATGCTGTGCCTAATATTGGCAAGAGAAATATTGACTACTCATTGCAGAAGCAAGGGATGTCTTTAAGCTAAACTGTTTGTGTGGAAATTTTTGGAAGGTGGTGATGGTAACAAAAAGAGAGATTATCCATTTTGACATGGTGGAGAGGTATTTAGTGGTTGTCTCCAAAGGATAATGTCACTGCATTCATCCTCTTTTTATTTGCTACTTTATAACATTTCTTTAGTACTTATGGGTTTATGCAACAGAGCTGGCAATTAAGGTATAACACCCAATTTCAAGATAATGGCCAAAGGAATTTGGACTTGATGACAAGCATGTGAACAGGTATGTTCCACTTTGATGTACTAACTTCAAAGTCTGAGTATGTTAAAGAGTTAGTCTTCTACAGAAATCCACATTCACAAAAGAGAAAGATAAGGGGGGAGCTCCAAATAGTGAGGACAAGACTGAGAAGATTGTTGAGAATAGGAAAAATAGTGAAAAGTGAAAGAAAACTGTGGCATAAGTCAAGTTTAATTAAAACTAAATTTGTATTTTCAAAGGCTGCTTATAGAATAACATGAAATTGTTTATTATTTGTATTAGTCAATGATGGTTATGGTTGAATAAAAACTTCTTGGAAAATATTTAATCATTTGTTTTTTTATATAAGTAGAAAATCACAAGTTATACTCTTGTATTAATATTTATATCAGAAAAGTGAAGTGAAAAATAATTATTTTGTAAAACAACCCAGTTACTATATAGTTATGTTATTTAGTTCAATATTATAAGGATTGAGAGAGCAGAGGGTTTAGTGTGGAAAATATAAGTTACTTCCATGACTAATATTTCCAGTAACATTAAAATTTTTTTAATAACTGGTAATTTTACATCACTTAAGTGGTGTAAGAGGTTACATCTAAAATCCTGCCTTGGTAGTATTTACAAGCATAAAATGATATTATGAAATTATCTGTATTATTATTCTGCTTGTTTGTATGTACGACCGTTACGCTTTCTAACTGAGAACCTGCTGCATAAGCATGCGTAGTTAGAATGTTTCCCCAAGAAAAAAACCACTCATGCGCATTATTCACTCGACAACAAACAGTCTCCCTGTGGCAGTGTGCTGCAAAGCTCAGTGATCAAATTGCTACAATTGCTGTATGAAACAAGAAGTAACAACAAAAGGGGAATGTAAATATATTTTACTAACCATTTTGTGGTACAAAATATTAAAAACTTTTCAAAGTTTTAAAAAAGGTTTGACGTTAGGTCGTAGAATAACATCAAAAGTTTATTTATTGATAGTATTAAGTACAGTAAAATTTAGTCCTAACTAAACTAAAGTAAAAAACGTACACAGGTTACAGTGTTAATTTATCTCTTTATCGAATTTAGGCCTAACATAAGTTAAAGTTTTATAAAGTACGGCCTATATACAAGTGGATTTACAGATTTTGTTGTCTACGATTAAAATTCGTTTGTATTGTGCTAGAAATGTTATATTTAAAGAAGTACTGTTATGATAAAGATACTTATTTGTCCAGAAATGTTTTGTGGGTCTCTGCTAGTAATATATAAGTACAAGTACAGCTATACAAGGTGCTTTAGGTATAGATTCAGATGTTGATTGTAGGGTATGATTAGTTGAGTCGATATTTTAAAATTGTTTTATTAATATAACTGTTTTCTGCATGTACAGAGTATCTTTTCAATTTATCTGATGCTGGTTGTTGTAGTCAAGTTTCATATTAATAACAATATATTCTTAAACGTTAGTAATTGTAGTATTTTCTCGTGTGCTAAAATATTATCTAGGGTTGTAATCTCCTAGCAAACAGCTATTCATTCTTATATAGAAATGATTTTAAATATAATTCACATGTACAGTAACTTGGTCATATACATATCTCTGGCATCATATTTCTTTTACTGAAAAAAACAAACCATTAAAGCTTGAATATTAATGCTTGTTTCGGAGATGAAATAACAGCTAGTTAAATATTCATCATTTTAATCCTAAGAGTGGAACATATTTTAATGTGGAAATTGTACGAGAGGCATCGTGGTTGGGGCTAACCCATGTGGAGATAGCATTGATAAGTTTTATGATTGTAGTTATCTTGAAAATTATAATATGTATCAAATAATGTTTCTTTGGAGTTGGAGCTATACTGATAATTTGAGATTTAAGTTTGTAGTCTTCTTTGGGTATCAAACCACTTTATAGTTCTTTCTGTGTTATCAGTTTATTTCATAACTTATGAGGGGAAAAAAAGTTAATTTTTCTTACTTAAAATTTAGCATATAAACACTTTTCAAAAACCTTTAGAGCTTTAATTAGTAAGATTACATCAGAATTAATTACATTAGAGGTTTTGAATTTAATTGTTTTTATTATGTTAGGGAAGAAATTCCCAAGCTTTTATTACTTATTCTAAAGTTTTCAAAACATGAAGGCCACTTTCAACTTTCTGAATTTCCATAATGATGAGATATAATGCTTTCTTTCATGATTGCCTTAATTATTCTGTTCTGCCACAGTTGGAAGCTACTTTTAATTACACCTACCTGTGTTCAAGAGGTCAGTAAGGGATAGATCTTGGTTCCAAGGTTACTGTTATCCTTAAATAAACTATTTGCCTTCTGAATTCTGATGGTATACAGATGTACAGAATAAACCATAGTGAACCCTCCAACAAAGATACTAATTTGTGGTATTTAATGCTACTTCTTATGAGAACTTTTACATCACACATATTTGAACAATCGTCATGTTAAATTGATTCAGTGATCATACAAGTACAGCTTAATGATGAATAGAGGTTTGTTGCATTAAGTGTATTTTTTTCTTTAAGTTCCATGTTGTATGGAAAGTATTTGTTTTCTACATAGCACATTTAGCTCTTGAATCTTATATATATGAGTTAATAAATTTTTCCCTGTTTTAGAAAAGCACACTTACATTGAGAAAAAGGTATGGAGCCGGGTTATGATTTTCGAAAATGGTGGACAGTCTTAATGGCTACAACTGGTACTTTATTGGCTGCAAGTTTCTTTATTTGGCTGCTTATTAAAAAGAAGTTGGAGAACTCAGTCAAGGTACCTTGTGCAATGTGAATTCATAGTTTAGTTAGATAGTAATTCTAGTATTGAAACATCTTTCTGTTGATGCTGATGAGATAACTTCTTTTGTAATCTCATTTTCTGATGATCTTAATCAGTTACCATTTTTCTGCATGGGCACAATTATGAGTAATTAGTCTTTCTCATTCTCTGTTAGACATAACATACAGAAAAAAAGGGTCATTTGGTCCTTCAAGGTTTTAATTTAATGCTCCTGATTTGAAATCAATGAGACAGTTATTTTTGCATCCCTTTGCATGTATTTTTTTCATTCATTGTTATATTTCTTTCTATGTGTGTGTGATATATATATCACAATACTGTTATTGGTTCTGGTTGTCTTTAGTTCTATTTAGTTCTGTTCAATATTTTATAGTTCTGTTTAATATCTTTTTGTAAAGGTGGAGGTTGGGAGTTTAATTAGTAGAAATATTAGGGTGGCTTTATTTCAATTCATTTCTACTTTTAAGAAATTTAAGGGTAACTGTCTTCTCACAACTGGCTATAGACAGTGAAAGGCAGTAGAGGCTGAGATGTTGTGGGTGGAGCACTGAGCTTCATACCCTTATTTAATTGATGATTTTTTTTTCCATGACAGCTGACAAGATTGACATCAGTGTTTGGATATTGTTTGATAGATGGGATATCCCCAACACATTTGGGTACTCTTACCACAGACATTATCTGTTATGACAATAAGTTGAAAACCAGGACCGATAACAGTATTGCGATATTTAATTCATTATTGTTTTATAGTGCTGATTTAATTGCCTATAAACAATTAATGTAATCAATAGTTATATATATTTATCATATTTCAGCTCTTTGCTAATTAATAATTTGGGGCAATAAGGAATTAAACTGCTCATACAGTTTTTTCAAATATATAGATTTTACTTTGAAAGCACTTGTTTGTTAATATTCTTTCAGATGCTTGTTTGGAGAGAGATTAAAATCTAATAAAGGGTTTGCATTTACCACCTGTCCACCTATAAAATGTAGGTTTATTTTGTCTGGGATGGGTACATTTCACCTAGTTACACCCCTAAGTGGTGCTTCTGTTTTCTTTTTCTCGGTACCAGATTGAAGCATAAATGAAAAATGGTTTTATGTTCTCTACTATTCAACCTGTATATACAAATACACCATGCTTTGGTTGGTATAGTTTGTTAAGGACAACATCAGGTTCATTAATATTCATGTTTTCAATCTATATAGCAATCATTATTAGTATGCATATTTGGTATTAAATGTAAAACCTGTAGTGCAATATGTCTTGAATACACTGAACTTTTCTTGAGACACTACTCTAATGATAAACCATTTGTCTTGAAAGACCACTAAATTGTAATATTTTCTCAGTGAAAATGGTTAAAGATGTAAATACAGTTTTGAATCAAATTAACAAAATCAAGTACATTAAAATGAAACCTTCCAAAAATTTTAAGTCTTGCAAGACAAGTAGATTTTCATAAATTTTATTTTATTTAATTGGTTTCAAGTTTATTTTAACTATTTGGATATGCATTTTAATTAAATCATGTAGAATGATTGTATGTTGTTTCAAGAGACTTTTAAATTTTACTCAAAGATTTTAGATTTTGGTTCTGAAACATGGAACAAATGGTGACTGTGTTTTGATTTGATATTTTTGAACAAAACTGTATACCTGGGAAGTTTTAAACAATAGATTTATTTCTAATAGGGAAATCAAACAGAATTGCTGGGTAGTAATAAGTAGCAAATCTCAAGCTGGCAGTCTTGAGGAGGAGACATGCTTAAAAATTAATTCCACACTAAAACATGGTTTAGTTTTTATTTTGTTTAACACAATACCTGTTCAATAGTCACAATGAACGCAATTTTTTCACATTCCAATATTTTTTTGTTTTTTGCAGTTTCTGTTATTCCCTTGTTTAATATATTAAACATATTGCAACACAATCTTTATATTTTTGGATAACTACAATGAATATTATAGTGAACAAGTAGAATGTGTGTGGGTCTGACATATTGTTCATCCATTAACCATGTAATAGTTATGGGTCATTCATAATTTTCTGAATAGAGATAAACACTAGCCACTAGAATGAAAAAAAATCTTACTACGTATGTCCAAGTGGAAGTTCAGTGAGTTACAGTCATCTACTGAAGACTTTGTTTAAATAATATGTAGTATTTTTTTTAGGACCCCCATGTTTCTACAAAACAGAAAGATTATGATGACTCTAACATTATGAATGAAAGATCCTGTTCACAAAATGATTTAGAGAAAACTGTGAAGGTATTTTTTGGAACACAAACTGGTACCGCTGAGGTAAGTCCTTATACAATTATTTATTGTATTTTGGAGAATATTGATATTTATATTGAAACTATTGGTTTATTCTCAGAATTCTTAAAGTTTCTAATTTTACTGTAGTTTTTAGTTCCAGTCTGTGTAATAGGTTTCAGTGTTAATGCTCTTATAAAATATTTAAAGAAAGTAAAAATTTATTTATATTTTACTGTAAGATTTCTATTTTTCTGCATAAACTAGTTCAGAAATGTTTAACGTATGATTTAAAGGTTGTAATAGATATTTTTGAATTCTCAATGTATGTGAATACCTCACAAATTTCATAAATTCATAATTCAGAAAATTTTAAAGGGACAAAAAGGAGCTTATTAGCTCATCAAGGAGGACTCTTCCAGCTCTCAACTATAACTACCCTTTACTACTCATGTATTCATCCAATCTTTTCTGGAACCCTGTTAAATTTTCTGCTTCTAACATCCTTGAAGGCAGCTCATTCCAAAAGCCAACTACCCTATTTGAAAAGTAATACTGTCTAAACTGCAGACAGCTCCTACGCTGCCAAAATTTGAATTTATGACCCTTTGTCTTATTGTTAAACACAGAAAAGTTAACTGACTTTAGCCCCTGAGATTGTTAGTCTTTTTAGAAAATATGTATGTATTTTAATACTTAAATAGTTATTTTCATAAAACCTTTTTTAACTTTCAGCTGCTCATAAATGTGCAAATTCAGAATTTCAAATTATTATGTAAATTAATTTTTAATTATTATTGGCATTATGCCTTTTTTAAAAGTTGTTATATACAAAGACAATAGCTAAGTAATTTCTTATGTTAATGATTGATATTTAGTTTTATATGCAGTTTTAAATTGCACTTTAAATATGACTTAGTACAGATTCAAATCATCGTATTAATAGAAATTTCAGTCTATGAAAAATGATTCTCTATTTCATAAAAAATATCCATATTTCACTTGGATTTAACTGAAAAAATATTACTTTTTATGTAAAGTGTGAAATGTGTACATATATATACCTAGCTAAATAGTTTAATTATATTTCTTAAACATGTGCTTTGTTTTGAGCATTAAACATGTATTTCTGAGCACAAGGAATGTGGACTTCTGTAACACAGATTTATATATTATATATTTTTGAAAAACTCAAAACAACACATACACAGAAGTACTACAGCAGTATAGAATCTAGATCAGTTTGTGATCATGAACAGTGTTTTCACAATAATAAAAAAGTTGAGAAATTTGTCCAAAATAATTAATTTCATAAAGATGCTGGATTTTATAATTTTATGCAAATTTATGAATTATGTCTGAAAGTGAACATGCTTAAAAATAGCAGAGAAAGGAGAATTTAACAATGAATGTCTCTCAGGTAAGTCAGCTAATTTAAGTGTTATTCACAGGTTTTTCACAAATTATGTAATAATAATGCTATACTGCAATTTTTCTATACTAGTGAAGCATAATTAATAAATATTTTAAATGATTGGTAATACTCACAAATTTTAGCAAAGTTAAATTGAATTTTTCATGAACTATTTGGCATGGTCTCATTGAATAAATCAGGAAAAATTGAAATGAACTGTATATATTTTTTTTTTAATTTTTCACAAATGTTTAAAGTTTTATAACACAAATCTAACTCCTTGTAATATATTTTCAAAGAACCTAACTATTTATACAAGTTTACTGACCACAAAGCAGGAAATACTAAATCACTAAAGCTATTTCTCTGTACTGTGACAAGGGGCTGGCCTATGGTTTGTCAGAAGAGATGAGTAATCAAGGTTGGAAGACAGAAGTCATAAATCTTAAGAACTATGATCCTGATGACAATCTTGTTGAAGATGTGAGCTTAAAATTGTTATAAATCTCTCTCTCTCTCTCTCTCTCTCTATATATATATATATATATATATATATATACATAATATTATATTACTACTTACCTTAGTATTAGTTACGTCTGTCGTATAAGTATAGTTACGT